ATCCGAGCTCCCACTCATTTCCTGACCACTCTGCCCAGATTGACATGCTCAGCCAGAGGATGCAGAGTATGGAGACGACCATGCACGGGTTCGGCGTTCAGCTCCAGTCTTTTGGAGATCTGATACGGACGGAGTTCGACGCTCAGAGGCAGTTCCGCGAGCAACAGCATCAGATGGCGCAGTACGCCACGGAGTTTCATCGCCGCTATGACGCGAGGTATGTCACCGACATCGACGCCCCTCTGATCCCCCTTCCACCTGGATATCCGTACTCCCCATACTACTATCAGCCAGGACCACCACCACCACCTCCAGAGCAATGAGCATTTTCTGTCTTTTATTTTTTATTTTTTTTCCCTTTTCTTTTGCTTTTGTATTTTCAGTCTGTTTTATTTGGGATTATCAGTTGTACTTTTCAGACTTGATGATGTATCACTCGTACTTGTTCTATTTGCTGCGTTGTTTTGGTTTGTGCTATTGTTTTATGTGTTTACAAGGTCGCATCACATTCCACGCGTACGCTGAGAGCTGTGAGACTTCGTCTGAGCCTTTTTTTCGTCAATCCTTGAGTACCGTGAGGGAGCACGCCATTCATTCATGCTAAGTATTCTTTTACCCCGTTCCCTTTTGGTTTCTCTCGCTGGTTTTCCCTTTTCCCAGGGCAACTTGACACCGCGGACGTGTCTCGTTCAAGTCTGGGGAAGGATAGTCTGACAACCTGTTTTCCCCATTTTGACAATCCTTGATGCATTTTAGCACATCATCTAGTAAATCTGCATAGAAAAACTACAAAAACCCGATTTCAGGCGATCAGTTAGAAGATTCATGAGCGATAGAGCAGAAATCTCTTGAGAGTATAGATGAACCTGGTTTAGTTATCTAAGCACCCGAATGAATTGTCGGACTTACCCGAAAAGGTAGCTTGACCTGAGGAATGATCTATAGGTTATGAGATGAGTTGTTGCCTAGGATGAAAGAGGGAATGAAAGCTTTCTAACCCAAGCATATATGTTTCCCTAAAAACCGTTCCCCATTTGCAGGAATATTAGGCCTTATATAGTCTAGCGAGCCCTTTTTCTCAATCTATCTTTATTTCTTTTGACTCGTCTAGACACACAGGCAAGTAGTCCGGGGGTGGCAGCAACCATCACGAGGCGAAAGTAAGCCCTGTTTCTAAAACCCATACCCTGTCCTTATGTTCGTTCCTCTTTGATCATATCATGCATTCGTCCAACGCGTATTTCGATAAAAAATGAAAGGAAAGAAAAGCAAAAAAAAAAGCTCGAATAAGAACGACAGAAGACGAATGCATTTGATATTGATCTTTGGAATCCCGATTTTCCATCACCATATTCAGACTTACTCCAAACCCAGGTGGACCGAATTATTCTTGTAGACAACGATAAATAGGTTTGAGAAACGTGTTCGGTAGATAACTTGAAATCCCCTTTGAAGTTTTGGGCAATGAAATTCGTCGTG